TTAAGTCCCCGACAGTGAGCGAAACGCAAGATCCTGAGCTGGTCGACACAGAGAAGCAGAACACTGTGAACATTGAGGGCGCGGAGGATCTGAAGCAAATGGAGAGGGGGGAGATTTGGGTAAGAAGGGATCAATCCGCCTCATCCCCAGACTGTGACATGTGAGAGCTTGACAAAAGTGTTTTATCAGCTTTACATGGGCTCCATGAAGATCAGTCATTACCCACAATGCATGACGTGCATTGACGTATATCACAAAGCTAGTAGAGGAAACATCCTTACCTTACTTTTGCCTACTGCTTTTTGTACAGGTTAAGATCATCAGTGGAGCGATACAGGAAACTAGAACGAGGGAACACAAAACAAATGCTGTTACATATAAATGGAGTGGAAGCTTTGAGACATGAGCTAATGGTACAATCATGGAATCTAATCAGTCGCTTTGATTGGCATGGTTTGCACATTTGGGCAGCATCCTATAGTCCTGCCTGCTGTTGCCAAATTTGGGTATCGTAAGAACATTAATAATCGTTTTTGTCTGTGTGACTCAGAGATATTATCTTAGTTAAGGGCTGTATATTATTTGTCCTTAAGTAAATAGAATAAATAATTTTTGAAGCCTCGTCTTGCACCGTTTACTGTACTTGTACATTTTCACATGAATATACACGGACGGGTTTTGGGGACAGACTTCCTGGTTGTGTGTTATATGAATTTTGGATCTCTTGTTTTACAGACTTATCTTTTTAGCCTTGGAATATATTTTGTTTGGTCTCTTGTAACATTAAAATAGTGTAATAGCCCCTGTGTCACAGAGATTTTCCATTTGTTTTAACTTAACATAATCCTGTTTTACTTGAATCTGCATTTGCTGTTTTTATGTCTTTATTTACTGTGAAACCATTTTGATATGTTTTCCCTCTATTCAAAGAACACTTAACATTACATCATTAACATTGTACGTGCACACTCTGTATTGTAGAGAATTTGCACATCAGCCACTTGTGTGTTTGAAAAAAAATTGTTCACTGGTAATGAATTTCAAAGCAATGGATTTTATTTATTCACATGTAAATTGATTTTTTTAGCAAAACACACGTAGTAGTTTATTTTTTTCTTGATCACAAAGAAAGTCCAAATGTGCTCAGGCAATCAAGGGGGAAGACTTGTAGAATGCCTAAAGAGAAAGAACTCGTACTTGTAAACAACTCATTGTGCTACTAAGACTGCATTTTTATTACTGTGTGTATATAGAAAAATGTATTGATATCATAATAAATACAGTTGTTTCCTACTTATAAATCAAAGCCCCTCTCTGTGCTGTGATTCACTGGTTCGTGTGGTCGTAACTACTCGTTCCCTGCAGCTCTGCTGTCAGAGATGTGAGGCGAGAAAAGCGCACAAATGCCCGGCGTGCTCTGATGTGCCAGAGAACGATGGAAATGAGCAGCAGATCAATGCTCTCCTGCCGCAAACTAACACGTAGAGAAGGCATGCAATTGCAAAACAACCAAAACACCTTCAGGAGACATTACGAGCAACTTTGCGTGTTTGCAAGCAACGGCTGATTTAGTGTCTGATGCTGACGGATCTAAATCTCCCACTATGACAGAAAGGAAACAGGAATCTCTTGTAAATGAGAGTTTTCACCTGCTCACTCAGGGGGGAGTCATGCAACACTTAAAGTGAAACACACTGAGACAGAATAAGAAAACCATGCTGCTTTCAGACCCGATCCAGAGATCAAGGTTGAAAAGGGTTCAAGAGAATTGGCAGGAGAGCACAGACCTCCACCGAGTCTAAAACCCAATCGCAAACATGTTACAAGGGTGACATAAAATAAAAAATCTTGGATACGCTCCGACTACACCTATCTATAACATTTCTCTAACTAACAAACAGACAAAAACATAAAATGCATTGGTCACAAAATTATTCCTGTGGCAATTTCACAAATTCGAGACATGTATGACCCAAATAAACAGGTAGAATAAACACCATGAAATAAATAACCACAACATAAAGTAGCAGCAATATTTGGCCAAGCTCACCGGCTTTATTCGAATAAGGTTTTTCTAAGAATGTACATCAATCATAACTGAGATCTTTGTTTTTGTGCGTTGAGCAACTGTTCAATTTCATTCAACATCTCTCCATTAGGGTGTGATGTGATTTTTATTTCTTAGCGATGCTTTTTTCTCATCTGGCGTCACAGTAAGTTTTGAGAGCTGAAATTTTAGTGCGCGGCAAAAAGGAACATGTCAAAATCAGGACGCCAATCACGTATCATTACATTAGTGGAGATAAACAGCAGCCTTTCACTTCCACCTTCCTGTGTTTCATCAGCAACATGTACTCACAGTGTTATCTCCTCCTTTGTTTTTCTGAGCTCTGTGGACTTCCTGTCACTCCCAGTCCCTCTACTGTCAATCAACACCTCCACCACAAAGGCTCTGCGGCTCCTTCAGACTCCCGCAGCCGAGGTGTTCATGCAGGGCCCGTAAACAGGCAGAGATGTGGGTGGGTGGGTGTGTGTGAGAAGCAGTTATTTTAAGATAAGTTAAACGTGCATGGTGACTATCATTGCTTACAGATGTAGTTGTTATAGAACAGAATTGAACAGTTTTTTTAATTCTAGCTGTGATTTTATTTGTAATCGTCTTCTGCCAACAAACAAGTCCTGTTACCATACCTTCACCTACTTCCTGTTACATTTCATATTGATTTAAAAATTTTAAAGGCATTAAATTGTCTTCCACCAACATTATTTTTCAGATTTATTGGCCTAGGATTCGTCCTCTTGACCACGAAGAACCACATATGGAGTCCTGCTGGTTAGCGAGCTTTTACTATAGGAGCCCTACTGAACAAACCTATGGAACAAACTCTTAAATCCCTGCTTGTTATTTTTTGTGAAAGCTTTTGCTCTTATTTAACACATAACATATTTTATTGATATGACTAAATCTACATTACTTACGTTCCTTTGTTTCATTCTCATTTTATCTGCCTGCCGGCACACTGTCTTCTTCATGAAGTTTCTTATATTTAATATCAATCTAGTTGTCAATCAAATTTAAACACTAAAACTGGCTTTTCCATTTATTTCCAATATTTCCAATTATTTAGGTTTCAAATATTTGTAGGGTATCACTGATGAAGCTAATATTAAAATGTTAATCATCTCAAAACCAAAAACAGAATACAGAACACAATTTTTGGGAGCAAAATAAAAAATCTCTTTTGTTATATGTAAACAGAAAAACTGTTTTTGGTTACCGAATCCAAAAAACTAAATAACAACTTAAAACGGTCCTTTCTTTCTGTTGTTTGTACCAGGTCCTTGTATCATTCTGCAATGTGCAGTAATGTTTACTTACAGCAGGGGGCAGACATAGTCTGTTGTAGTTGTACATAACTTCCTGTGCCACCACATTATCTTACACCTGTGTATTCATGTAGTTTCATTCAGTCTTAGCTTAATATAATTATAGTTCATTTATATCAGAATATATTGTTGTAACACGAGCACATCCACATGCAGAAATGACTGCACAGCACAGGTTTGGTGTATCTGACTTCACGACCGGGCGTCTCTCTGCATGAGCGAATCTGTTTACATTTGAAGCAGCTGAGGATGTGACGAAAGTATCACTCAGCGAACCTGTTCAGCAGGCTTCTCAGTTTCTGTTCCTGTTCTATGACCTCTCTCTCCGTCCTTCTCTCATTCTCTCTCCCACTTCTCAGAAACAGGTTGACCAACTTGAGTTTAAAAGGAGTGGCTCTTCTTAAGAACAGGAAATACAAATTCCCCCCCATTGTTTTTGAAACATTCCCTCCTCCTGTGTTATCAGACCATTCACATGTTGGTATTAATCGTTGAGTCTTAGTTAAAGCAAGTTGAGATTGTCATTTAAATTAAGTTCATTGTGTAAGATTTAAGTGAAAGGGATCGAATATTGAATATAAAATAATCCTAGTGATGTTTTCACTGATCATCTACAATTGTATGAATAGTAGTTTTCTTTACCCTAGAATGAGCCCTTTATATTAATATACTTTATATTTACATCAGGAGCGGGGCCTCTCTACGGAGGCCGCCATGTTTTTTTACAGTGATCCAAACTGGACAAACTAAACACCTTAAGAGTTTTTATGACAACTGAAGTCTACCACAGGTTTTCTGTCATGTCATGGAAGCAGAGGGTGATGTGAAGGGTGTTCAGCTGCAACATAAAACTTCCCCACTAAACTCTACAAACTGAACCTTTAAGTTTTCATGGCAGTACCTATGGTCAAAGTGTTTATTAATTTGACAGTTACAGCTGCAGAGTTAATTGATACTGCTCCCTAAGCAGACCGACTGTGCGATGATTGATTTTAATTCATGAGTTGAGCCAAAGGAGAATTTGTTCTTACTCAAATGAAGAACAGAGAACACACTTCCTACAAAATACATGAAGTTTGATGCGTATCAAGATTCTTTGTGTGTGTGTGTGTGTGTTAATGGGCTTGCATAGAAAACAAAGGGAATGTTTGTTGACCACACATCCTGTTTTTTTCCCGGGGCAATAGTGTTGCTGACTTATTTCGAGCAAAAATTATTATTATTATATATTTTCCAGGTTATTCAGTTGTCTGACACACTTTAGCTGATTTACTCATCTTACAGTAAACTGGGTGCAGCATAAAGATGTGTGCAATATTTGAAGTTACCAAAACATTGTCAAGTCATAATTGGATCTCTGAGGTTGGGCCGTAACACCAGGTCTTAACTCGACTAGTCACGCTCTTTTCATTGGTACAGGTCATGCATGACCAGCAAGGATGAGAGACTTGTTTGCTTTTAGTTTTCTAAAAACAGTTCAAATTCCAATTGTAGGAATCAAGGTCAAGTCATCTCAAACCAGTATGATGACATTGCATGCAGGGTGATGCTATCACAGATTTAAGGCTGTGCAAACCAGATCAGTTGGGACAGTTCGACAGATAACACAAGGGACCAGGCTGCATTAACATCTGAGTCATGAAAGCCAAGTTGGACATCTTAGCCCTGGTCCTGGGCTTCATCGGCCTGGTTGGGACAGTTACCATCACCGCCCTGCCCACGTGGAGAGTCTCTGCCTTCATCGGTGCTAATATTGTTGTAATGGAGGACCTCTGGGAAGGGTTGTGGATGAACTGCTGGAGACAGGCTAACATCAGGATGCAGTGCAAGATGTATGAATCCATGCTGATTCTCCCGCCAGAGCTGCAGGCGGCCAGGGGGCTCACGTGCGTCTCCATAATTCTGGTCGTCCTCGCCTTGTTGATCACGGGATTTGGGTCCAGGAAGAGCAACTGCTGCGATGACAACATCAGATCAAAGAACACCATCCTCGCCTTAGGGGGGTGTTTGTATCTGCTGTCCTTTTTGACCACCATCATCCCCGTCAGCTGGGTGGGCTCCACCGTCATCAGCAACTTCTATAACCCGCTGGTGTTGGAGGGACGCAAGCGGGAGCTGGGGAGCGCCCTCTTCATCGGCTGGGCCACATCTGGCATCCTGCTCATCACTGGGATCATCGTTCTGTTCAGTTACAACAAACATCGAGCAAAGGACGAAGACCCCTACTACACTGGTACACCTCTGGTGCCACTGAGGAATCCATCCCAATACGGGAGCGACTACCTAAAGAGGACGCCATCCACCTCTCATAAGAATCACCAATATGTGTGAAGAACTGTACTGCATTGCCATCTCCGTTTTTTTCATGTCTCTAACGTTCAAAATTATTTTTAGTATGTAGCTTTGCAGTTTCATAAAACCAAAATTGGGCTGTTTTTGTAAAGGGAAAACTGTTTTTTTGCTCTTGGTTCAAACCAAAATCATTATACAACTGCACAGTTGCAAGAAAATATGTCGATATAAATTCATGTTGAAATTATAATGTATTATATAACTATTCATGTGAAATTAGCACTCATTAAATCGTTTTTTACACATTTTTAATGTTCTTTTACATTTGTATTTTTCCTCAACTTTCACTTTCAAATGCTAATTTTGGTTTGAATGGATACAGACTAATCAACAGATTTAATAAAGGTTTGATTCTACCTTTGCTTGTGTAACTGCATTTTTTGTCAGGTGTGCATTTTCCTACTCCTCACAAAAACATCAAATAAAAAACTCCAGACTGCTCATTTTTGTAAAATGTCTTTCTTACTAAATGAAACTAAATTCAGGCAGTGCATTTCACAGCTCCTCAACAAACACACAGTTTTTATGTTTAAGAGACTTCATTGTGCTGGTTAAAGGTGAGAACTGCTGCCATGTGGACAATACTGTGTTACAATGAAACCCAACCTCCTCACGTTTCTGTGCTCAACACCTTTTTATCAGCTCAGTTTACATCTGGAGGAGGAGACAGTCAGACGTCCATGATCAGTCTCTCAGGTTTCAGTCTGAGACCAACAACAGATTTGTGACTCATACACTGTACACACATTTACCTCGATAAAAAAGGAACTACATTTCCTGTCACACAAACAAATTCAAGTAATTTAATTTGAAAGATCGGTGCTTCCCAAAGAAGGAAACTAAGAATATAATGACAATTCTTCTCAGAAAAAATTTAAATAAACACATTTACTTTCATTCTACTTTCATTTTTATCTCTTAAGTTCCAACCACTAACAGCAATGAAAGTTTATGCCAAATTATTTTCTCTAGTTCTTCTTTGGTTCACTAAACATTGTGCTGTCAATACTGAGCATGTATTGACATGTTTGAAAGGAGAAACATAATCTGATCAACTGCGACTTTATACAGTGATTTAATTTGTTCCTGATCACAAGACGATTGTTTGTGGTGGCAGTTGGATTTGCATTCAAAAGGAGCAATGCTCTTTGGTGTGTCCCCATTTATCTGATGGCTATAAAGCAGCTCAACCAGTAAGGTTGCATTGCATTGTTAGCATTTCTGTGGGTGTATAAGTTCCTTGACTTGCTCTTCTCCTCAGATTTGTTTCTGAAGCTGCGAGGGTGCAGCCAAAAGCCGCGATGGCCACGTACACCGCTTACAGTGGCTACAGTAAACCCCCACAATCTTATGTGGGCTCTTACTACGACGAGAAACAGGCCAAAGCCTACACAGATTATCAAGACTCTGTGTACGAGGAGAAAAAGAGACTCGATAAGAAGGACCGCAGGGACGCCATTTGTTGTGAGGTGGTGGCACTCGTCATCGGATTCATTGGACTGATCGGAGTGTCGGCCGTGACGGGCCTGCCGATGTGGAAGGTGACAGCCTTCATCGAGGAGAACATCATTGTCATGGAGACCCGCTGGGAGGGATTATGGATGAACTGCTACAGACAGGCTAACATCAGAATGCAATGCAAGGTGTACGATTCCCTTCTGTTTCTGCCCCCGGACCTCCAGGCCGCTCGAGGTCTGATGTGCAGCTCCGTGGCCCTCGCCTCCTTCGCCCTCATCGTTTCAGCAGTGGGGATGAAGTGTACCAAAGTGGTGGACCACCGGGCTCGCACCAAACACATTGTTCTCGTGTCTGGAGGCTGTCTGTTCCTCATGGCCTGTGTCACCACCCTGATTCCTGTGTCCTGGACCGGCCACGTCATTATCAGGGATTTCTACAACCCACTGCTGATCGATGCCCAGCGCCGGGAGCTCGGGGAGGCTCTGTACATCGGCTGGGTGACCTCGGCTTTGCTTTTCAGTGCCGGGGTGATTCTGCTGTGCCGTCACGCTCCTCGCACCCAGGATTCAGATGAGAGGATTGTGTACAACCCCGGGGACAGTGTCTACCAACCTGCCTACGCTTACCAGCCATACACTTACCAGCCGGCCTACACCTACCAGCCTGCCTACTCTGTACCACCACCAGGATCTGTAGCATACACACCAAGTCAGTACTAGTGGAATCAAACACAGAGACTATCTTGAATCATGTTTTTTTTTTATTTGCCAGGACTTATTGCAATTGAGAATAAACTGACAAATATGACGAGAGGCTGTCACTGAAAAAGGCCAGATATTTTATTCCTTTCTCAAAGGAGGGCCAAGTGTGTTTTGATCATGATGAACTGTGTTGGATTTCTGCATTCTTTGTTTCCATGTGATTGATTTTCACTAAATTATATCAGTTAATGAGGCGCAATATATATTTTTTCAAACCTGTAATAATGTAATCTGTTATGTAATCCTTACAGCCTCTGCTCACATGCTCTTTGAGAACAAACTATGCACTAGGCCTTTTTCAGATACAATACTGCCAAATGAATGTACATACTAAATAAAACATAAAACATAAGGTCACTAAACTGTGGTTTATAATAAAGGGATAATGTTCAGAAAACTGAGGAACTGATAAGCTGATGGAGAAGTAAGGGTAAACCACAACTTACACCATAGCCAATGTTTCACTACCTGCCTGGGATAACAAAGTTCCCACTGACACTGCTCCTGTTTGACTCACTCGTGTTGCGTGTACATGGAGACTTGTTATGTTGTCTGCAGTAGAAATGTGCCTAAACTGGTTTAACCAGACCGCTGACATGGGTACACTCACAACACAAAGATGCCAAGAGATTTCATTTCAAACAAGCCACAGGGCTGCTGCTTTTTTAGACCCCAGATAAATCAAGAAATCCAGACAGGAAATACAACACTGACAGGGAGACGTCATCACACAGCAATAAATAATGTATAGGCATTTCTAAATGTTCTTTTTGTTAACGTTTTGTGTCTCTAGTCCCATTGCAGTCACATTTTCTGAACACACAGAATACCACCATAGTAAATGATGAAGAATTGAATTGATTATGTTTTGTGTCATGTTCTCTGTCCTCACTTATGATTCAAAAATAAACAAATTCCTTTATACTATATATTCTTTATGACCATTCTTATTATTAGTAGTCGTAGTTGTTAATGATTGGGGTTTTAATCTTTAAGTCATTTGAAAATTTTATTTTTTGATTATTATGAGGAGTTAATTTTGAGGCAGCTCAACATTCAAATCAAAAAATGTTCTGTTTTTTCCTGTCATGTCAAATTTTAATAAACAAAACCTGGAGACCAGGACAAACATTAGGTTGAGCTCAAGAGCTGATTGTGTGTGATATCTAGACTTATAACAGGAAGTATATTAAAATGAAGTACTTTTTATATGCATGTAGCTAGTAACACATTTGAGAAACTAAAAAGAAAAATTCCCTTGTTAATAAAACACCCAAGTTTTTCTTTTCAGTTTCTTTGTGAAGTGAGATGTGTAAACTGAGACCTGTGAATAAACAAAGTGGCAGCTTACAGCAGCTCCTGGGCGAGGTGTGCAAAGAGGAGAAAAAGGTAATGGGGGATTCTGTTTCACGGCAACAGGTTGTAAGTCCCACCCCTTCCATTCTGGCGTCCTGTCCACAGGGAGGAGAGAACGCAGGTGAACATCAACCTGCTCCTCCTTCTCCCCTGGGATGCAAAGCCACTCCAATCTACATGCATCCAACTGTAGTCACACTGCCTCCACACATTTCTGCACGTATGAGCTTGGAGGCGTAGGAAAAGAACAAGATGGCCAACTCAGCGCTGGAGATTGTGGGTCTCTTATTGACCCTGATCGGGCTGATTGGCGCGGCAGCGAGCACCGGGATGCCGATGTGGCGAGTCACAGCTTTCATTGGGGAGAACATCATTGTGTTTGAGACTCGCTACGAGGGTCTGTGGATGAATTGCTTCCGGCAGGCCAACATCAGGATGCAGTGCAAGGTGTACGACTCTCTCTTGGCCCTGCCCCCTGACCTGCAAGCAGCGAGGGGGCTCATGTGCAGTGCTCTGGCGCTGGGCGGCCTGGGTCTGCTGATCAGCTTGGTGGGGTTGCAGTGCACGTCATGTATCCAGAACAACGACAGAGCAAAGCGACTAGTTCTGATCATTGCAGGAAGCATGGTCATCATGGCTTGCATCTGCGTCCTCATCCCTGTTTCGTGGACGGGCCATGTCATCATCAGGGACTTCTACAATCCCTTGCTGATCGACGCCCAGCGCAGGGAGCTCGGGGAGGCTCTGTACATCGGCTGGGTGTCCTCGGCTTTTCTGTTCGTTGGAGGATGCATGTTTATTTGCTGCAACCTGCAGTCTGAAGACAAAGGTTCAGAGAGGTATGTTTACTCCAGGGACTCCAGCTACATGGCCTATCCCCCACAGCCCCTACAGCCTCAGCAGCTGGTGCTAATTCCCCGACCAGAACCTCAACTACAACCTCAATTACAACCAGTCCTGTCCAGACACCCATCAACTATCTACTCCAACTACTCCAGATACCCCTCTGTACGCAGTGCGGTGGCTTATCTCTGAACACTGGCCGAGGTAATGATAATCAGTTATGGTCACTATATTCAATTCAATTCAATTCAATATATATATATATATATATATATATATATATATATGCGAGTGAATGTCTTTTTATGCTTGACAGTGCGATCTATGACACATTTCTAGTTAAAAACACATTTCAATGAATACAAATGAATCCAATTCATAGTGACGTCTGTTTAAAATCAACTGTTTTTATATATTGTTTGTGGTATAACATTTTGATAAAGAGCACTAGTAAAACCAGTGATTTCCACTACTGTCAAGTGTGTTGTATTATCAAATATAATTATTTTGTACATTAGGTTAAAACGTTTGTATATATGTGTTATGATAATTCACACATGATTTAAGCAACGTTTTTGTGGCACATTTTGTATTTGTGTTTATTGTGAAAATGACATTTTGCTGTTGGGACATGTTACCAAGCTGCGCAGTTACGTTAATAATTCAGGTGTTTCAACCCAATTTTCTTTTTACCTCCAACAAAATTATACACAAAGAATAACGAATACAGGTGAATCAAGGGGACAGAAATATATATATTTTGCTGACGAATGGTGTGAAACTGACAGACATTGGAGTCTAAAACTTGTGTGTGTGTCTGTTTGCTGAAGTTTTGTGTATGATGCCCTGGAGGCGCTTGTTAACTGATGGAACTGAGTAAACATGAGATGCAGGTTTAAGACTGTGTGTTGAAGGTGTGGATTCAGAGGCAACTCGAGCCGGACAGTTTGTGAAGAATCCAGACGACCTGACAGCATGAATAATGTGATCAGAATTTGCAAGTCACTTTGAATAGAGATAAAGTATTTTTAGGCCACAACGTGTGTCAGTTAATTTCCTGGTTGGCTTTAGCTTCATCTGTTGTTCATAACAGTGAGAAAATCTATGTTCAGCTACGTAAGTAGTTCTTGAACTACAGAGTCGTGTCATTTCAATTTTAGTGAAGCAGTTTAAATCAAAACAGTAGATTGGTGTTTGTCTCAGTGTTAATTAAGGTTACACCAAAATTCAAGTGTAACTTCACCAACATGTCTGTGCTAAACTCCACCCCCTGCAGGATTTTGAAAAATGCTAAAAACTGGTCAAGGGACTGAGGGGGAGAGGAAGGTGGACGTGATTGTGGCTGAAAAAATGGAGATCGACACAGAATCAAGAGGCGTCTATGCCACATAGGGTTCTTTTAAAGTGGAGGACTTTTCCCCTCTGGAATCCCCTAGAATGGATATTAGTGTGGTGGAGGACCATGGTGGTCCATTTCCATTTGAACCGTTCAGCTCAATCACTCCCCAGTCCGACTTCTCGTAGGCCATGAACGTCCAGGAGAGGGTGGAGTCAGTCTCTGGGTTCAAAACAAGTTGTAAAGCTGAATAATTACCGAGAACATGTTTGAAGCTCCAACATAAAATGTCCAACTTATCAAAAATGACACACTGCACCAATGGTGCCACTCTTTGATATTACTCCTGTCCTACAATCTGAGACTGTTTTTGTCCAGATCAACAAACTCAGTTGCAATAGCCATCTTTCAACCAGTAGAGCGCAGTAATAATGCATTTTTACCACATCTAGTGTCAAATTCAAACATTTTGCCCCAAAATGTCTTCATTTGGAGCCGAATTAATCAACAACACTACTAAATATCTGTATAAATTGGTTTTAAGATGAAGTGATTTAGGGGTTTAGTTATTATTTAAGGATCTGTTTGTCCATGTTGTGTCATCTCAGCAGCTTTAGAGTTACACAAATATGAATATATGTTGACTTCTTGTATGAAATGTTAACTTGTCATTTCTGAATCTATACATCTGGTCCTCAACAATCAATAACTGTGTTTGGCCTGTGTGAGGCGCTTCATCTCCTGCTCCACTAATGCGAAGTCATCTCTGCTCCCCTGTGGACAACAGAAGTACTGGAGGAGCTTATGTGCTACACTGAATATTTGTTTGGGAATTGTTATCACATACAGTATAATGTGAAAAATAAAAACATAATAATTGATGAAAACCTTTCTGTTTGTGAGTTCTGGTATTGTCTTGAAAATGTTTACTGTTGGAGAAGCTGATGGCGCAGATACAGGTCGGGGCCCGAGGAACCATAAACACAAAATAAGCAGAGATCCTCTTTACCCCCATCGCTCTGGGCCAACCAGGTGACAGCAAAGCACCTTTCCCATAACAAATCGCCTCTTACTGAAAACAGACTTCATCAGAAGAGAAGAGGCTCTGAATCTGAGATGTTGTACTAAAGCATCAGGAGTTTATGTTGACGTGAGCTTTCCTACTTTTGGACCCAGCTGGATTCTCTCACGCTGCACAATGCTTCAGGGTGTTACTGAGATAGCCGCGATGTGTGTCGGGCTGGTTGGGCTGATCGGGGCAGCAGCTACTACAGGAATGCCCATGTGGAAGGTAACTGCTTTCATTGGTGCGAACATAATTGTCATGGAAACCCGCTGGGAGGGCCTGTGGATGAACTGCTACCGACAAGCCAACATCAGGATGCAGTGCAAGGCGTACGACTCGTTGCTGTTCCTGCCCCCGGAGTTGCAGGCAGCCAGGGGACTGATGTGCTGTTCTCTGGCCTTGTCGGGGCTTGGGCTCCTCGTGGCTCTGGCGGGAATGCGGTGCATTTCCTGTTTTCAGGGTAACGATTGGGCTAGGACCATAATCCTGATGGTCGCAGGTGTTATGCAGCTCTTGGCATGCTTTTGTGTCTTCATCCCTGTGTCATGGACGGGTCACGTCATCATTAGAGATTTTTACAATCCTTTGCTGATTGACGCTCAGAGGAGGGAGCTGGGAGAGGCTCTGTACATCGGTTGGGTGACTGGCGCCTTCCTTTTCGCCTCAGCACTGCTGTTTCTCTGCCGTCGTTTGCCCACGGACAAAGGATCATTTGACGTGTACCACCCAGCCAACTTGCTCAGCTACAAGCCAGCACCCGGATACCCATCTCTGATGAGGTACAATCCCGTCCCGAGTATCTCAAGCCTCAAATCGACTGCGTACCATCCTTCTCTGCGGAGCAATGGCTCAGCTGGGCAACAACTTGCAATGCCACTGGAAACTGTCCTTCCATTGACAAATAACGGAGCATTAATCAACCCTCCTGTTGCCTATAACCCAGGTCTGCCTGACCATGCATCATTGTTATATCATGGTAGCATGGCTCACCATTCCTCCATGCATAGTTCTAACAATGTTGGAAGCAATTATACTCCGGCAAACTCCTTGTACATGAGCCACAACACCACACCCTATTCACTGACTTACAATCCCACCGCATCCTACCAGTCCAGCTTTCATCCGGTTCCACACTCTCCTATTTTCATAGGATATAAAACATCAATAGTTCATCCAGGGTCTCACAACGGGAGCAGTGGTGCTGGTGTATACATATAAACAAAATCAAGTGGGGGGTTTTGCTGATTAAACTACAGACACAAAGCTTTTTATACTTTTATATTCCAGCATCAAAACTGCTGTACATTAGCTGCAAGGTGAAGGTAAATTAAATTAAATTAACTAACTGTCTATATAAGGATTATCTTAATGAAGATTAAAATAATGTTAATTAATAACCTCGTCATTTTTATTCTGTGACAAATGTAAGGGATATGTGATCATGTTGAACATAACCATTCAATGTTAATGTCTTGCATCTCTGTGACAATCATAAATGTAAACATTGTATGTGATTCCTCTCGGTGTGGTTTATATTTTACTATCAAAGTGGACTCACCTCATTTATCTGTTTTACTTAAGTATATTGAGAGGGTGAGGTGTAGGCCAAGAAAAAAAATCATGAATTAATTCATCAGATTTGATAAAGAGAGAGGGGATGCAGGATTTTATTTTTAATTTTCTTAAACATAGCGAAGTTTTGGGGAATTTCTCAAGAAATAATAGTGATCAGGCTTATGTAGAGTGCTAATGTCTATTATAATTATCTCATGTATGTGGTGTTGATGTTAAACTAGTGTACTGAACTAGGTTTGAATACATGTGAAGTACCCTTAGTATCAAAATCACTAAATACTGCACGTGTTGCGATTAAACAACTGTGGTGGCCTGAGTCAACCCTAGACACTGTATATATCCACCACTAGATGACACCAGAGAACGGGATGAGTGTCCTGAGTTGGCTGAAACTCTAATTGGAGAACTTCCAATTCAGAGTAACAAACCAAAAACCTGAGGATCTCAGATAATATATAAAAGGCAAATGATAAACATGTGTACTGAGTATTTTCTTGTGTCATCCATCAGATCTTTCAGCATCATGAGTGTTTTAAAAAAAAAGTAAAATATACTTCAACAAGCTAAATAGTTTAATTTTACAGTGTATTACTGCAAATGATCTATATATTTTGTTTTAATATTTTTTTCACAGCAAAGCCGACCTGAAGATATAACAGATATAGATAGATAGATAGATAGATAGATAGATAGACAGATAGATAGATAGATAGATAGATAGATAGATAGATAGATAGATAGATAGATAGACAGATAGATAGACAGATAGATAGATAGATGTTCTTTAGAGATCCCAAACTGGGAAATGATTGTGTAACAGCAGCATGTCAAGGGCATTGCACATAGAGCGCCAGATATGAAGAATTTAAATAACTCATAATGTAATACATAGAGACTGTACTTAATCCCTAAGCAAATGATACAAGCTGTCAGGGTGTAAATTGATTCTTAACTATCAGTGTCTAATGAGGCTAATTTATGAGGAGTTCAATAATAGTGAGATGAACCTAATCCCCCCAAAACACCATCACACCCCTGATGCTTCTTGGTTGGAGAGAAGTGGTTTGGAGCATCATCACTTTTCACCACTCATCAGATCAGTGCACTCATCGTTTTTTTTATTCAACCCCAACCACTCAGCTCCGAGGAATTAGGCAAAGTGGATTAAGGTAATGTGAACACATTTTGTTTGACTGTGAGATTGTGTCACATAAACAGTTTGAGGTAGTTAATCTTCGAGGGGAGCGACACTGACCAGTTTGGAGATTAGATTTGCGTTTCCATCAGGACTGGAGCAAAGATTTAATCATTCCTCGGTGTACCGAAGCAAAGACGTTGTCGAGGTCGAACGTTGCCAGATTTGAAGTTAATCTTCAGGACGTATCCATGTTTGCGGATCAGAGGCTTGGCTGTGCCCTCAATTGAGCGCCTGCACGGGAGAGATGCTCAGATGCGTCAATTCAGCCAGAGACAGACTAGGAACAGAGCGGGGGGGACTTCATAATAAAAGCATTCACAATGTTTTCTTCTATCAACCAGCAGAAGAATCAAGACTGATTATTGGTATGAATTTAGTTTATGGGATTGGGGAATTGGAATTAATAAAACATTGAATGAATGGGAATTAGTTGTATGAATAACACAAGATCAGATAAAGAATATAAAACCCCCCATTGTAGAGTACTGGAGAAAAGCTAATTAAAAAGGATAGTTCACCCAAAAATGAAAATTCACTCATTATCGACTCACCAGTATGATGGAGGGGAGGGTGAAGTGTGCACTTTTGGAGTTTCAGGGGTAAACAGCGTTGCAGCCAAAACAAATACAATTGAAGACACTGGTGACCGATTCTTCAAACCTAAAAACTCAACAGATACAATATAAATGACCTCGTTTCAAATTCAACTTGAAACGAGGTCATTTACACCATGTTTTTAGCCTAAATGTCCTAAATGTTAACATAATGGAAGAATATTTAAATGTTTAAAGTATATATACATAAGAAAATGTCTAAAAGAGATGAAGGGAGCAGCAATGACAATTTAATTGAGGAGTTATTGCCAGCAAGGGTTGAAAAAAAAAGGTGACCTTGCTTTTGCCATTAGGGCCCCGCACTTCTCAAAATCTACACATATAGACCTTCACCCTTATTTGACTTGTTCATTTATTTTTATTGTCAAATCCATTATTTAAAAAGTGCTGAATAAATATAATAATACATATAAAAAGTTCCACGATCAGCCGCCACCACAAATGGTGAGAAACTATGTAGAAATAAAATATATACACGTAACTACAAATACCACTTGTTTTCATTTCTGAAAACACATAATTAATGACTGAAATAAATTATATTTCTCATTACAGATATTGTTGATTGTTGCTGTCAACTCAGCTTTTATTTTGAAAGGTGTAACCACACATGCTGTTTTCTATTCTTGCCAGCTTGGCACCAGGGCGCACGGCGCACGGTCCTCCTCCTCAATTGCAGCCTTCAATTCAAGTGTGCACCGGGAAACAAAAAGAAAACCGTGATCAGAGGGATGTCTGAGCAGTGAAATATGGGAAGCAAAACCTCAGTGGCACACCGAGGATTGTAGAAAAATGGGAAAACTGGAGTTTTTCTGACAGCTGCAAGTGGAGTGTCTGTTTTTTTTTTCTCATCACTATGTGTGAGGAATGGATGTGGGTCGGATGCCAGTTTATTTTTGTGACGGATACCAGGACTGGCAAGTTACCAGCATGAGTTACCGAGGGCAGAGTAACTGATATCAATGTTCATTTCGACTCTGGAGGGAGGACCATGGCGAAAGGGAAGGGACTGTTATTTCCACTGCTGTACTTTATGGCAGAGTTTTGGCTCACTTCGCAGCAAGTCCTGAGAATTGGTGAGTGGTGAGATCAGTCAGTGCATTTGTGTGTTTGCTGTGTTTCCTGCAGACTCCCACATTTGTGCAATCACCAGGTTTCATAAACCCTGTGATCACCAGAGCTACACTGACCCTCATTCCCCCCATTAAAATTCATAATGAACTCCCTTGTGTCTCTGATTAAAAACAGAAGAGAATCAGACTTTTGTGGCACGGCCATCAATTTTTAAATATCTTGAATTTCCTGTTGCCTGTGAAGCATGCATGCACTTTCTATTCTCTCTGAAGATAACCAAGAATAAATGAAGAGATTATACATGTGGATGTCGTGCGATAATATCTCTTCAGATTGTGCAGCTCGGTTGCTGTAGGTAAGTCAGCAGCTGCAGGATAACCTTTGACTCCATGCTCCATCAACCGAAACGCACCATTTAATTCATTTAATGCCCCTACAGTGAGCCACTGTGTGACTGCTGTGTGGGCTACACTGTGTATGAGTTATTCAATAAGGATCTTTTTAATGAGCACCCCTTGCAAAATATTGTCCTTTTACAGACGTCTTCCATTGGTACTGATGTCTGTGCAGCACCTTTACACTTCTCATTATGGGAGTATTTATTTCTTATTTTGCTCATAAAGGAAGAACTGAGGGCAAAGTGCTGCTTGTCCATGACTCTGTTTTCATCAAAATCATGTTAATCCAGTTTGGTTGGCCAGCACCAGCCTCCCTCTCTCTCTCTCTCTCTCTCTCTCTCTGTTCGTCCATGTCGACAGAGCAGGTCAGCGGCAGATGAGTGATTAAGTTGGACGACTGCTGCATCTGAGAGCATGCACTGTTGGCATGACGATGGTGTCTTTGGCACGGACGCATGTGAAATGGATACAGAGCTAAAGAATGAAGAGTGGGACTTTGTTCTGTTTGGCTGCCGACAAAGTTCGGCTTATTTAGACTTGATGCATATGCATGTGGATGCATGTTAAGAGTCCAGAGTTGTCTGTTGAATTGGCACAGCTTTTGACTCTGCATTTGTCGCAACACAAACTGAGATTTTTGCTCCGATGCTCCAACTTCCCCACTTTGCTTTCTGATGTAACTCTGTAACAACCAGTTTAATGCTCTCTCCTCCTCTCCCATTGGTTTTCCACTTTTCCTCCCATGAGTTAGAATATTGCATCACAAAAAATGTTTCATCGAGGCCTCGGGACGCTGCTCTATGCCCTGCAGCGACTGTGATTTTCCAAATTTGTTCCACTTCTGAAGACTTGAACAATCAGACTTGTGGCGTTGCATAACTTCAGTGGCTAATAGGCCGTTGCCACCTCCCTGTTCTGACAATCCCGATCTGTGCTCTGTATTGTTAATCTTTCTCAATCATCTATCACTCTCCCAGGCCCATCTAATCTTTGTCATTCTCCTCATGACCCGCACTCATCATAATCTCTCCCATATGGTGTGTGGCTCTGTTCAATTAACATTTCTCTGTCCTGGCAAGTGTTGGCATCAGATTGTGTTCACTCTTTTTTCCACTGGGGTTGGTAATAATGGTAAATCTCCTTCTCCAAGCCCTTAAACAACTAACACTAATCTTCTTTATGCAGAAAGTCTCTTTCCCCCAAATATGGTACTTAGGCAGCAACCAAATCTCATCATTGGGGAGAGCACAGACGCAGCAGCTTGCGACTCAGCCTCTGCTTTATTTTGCTGTTTGTCAAATTCCTGTTTGCTTGCAGGTTTTATGTATTGGTGAAATCTGATTCGATTGGCCCAGCAGTTATTTAAATAAGGCGAAATTGCAATATATATGGATGCAGACCTTTCGGGTTTAAATGTTTTGGTGGTGGGTCAGAAGCAGCCACCCAACAAACAGAGAAACCTCAGTTTTCCCACATCAAACGAAGGTAGTAGACGGGTTAGGGCCTCCTTATTCATTCACAGTCTGGCATGGGCCCAGGGTAGAGTGGTGGTGCTGGTGTTGGAGGGGGGCGGGGGGTCTCACTGGGAACTAGCCCAGGATTCGGAGAGGGGAGACAGCAAAACACTACGTCATTGTGTTCCTCTGCTTTAAAAGAGCCCCCTTCATGAGATAATTGCAAAGTCACAAAAATCACACATGAGAATCTGGATCGTTTTCTTGATTTGAACTTTGGGGTTAAAAGCTAAATAGATCTTATTGTTTTTCCTCTATGCACTGAAAGGCAGAAGAACAGAAGTCTTAAAAAGAAAAAAAAAAAGCATTGCCTCTGGGTTTATCAGAATTTGCTTGCAGCACGATCAGAAGCTTTTGTTTTTGTGACCTCCCAGCATGCATCACCCCACAGCATTGTCTGGCCTATTAAAGATTAGATGGAAGCTCAGTGATCCTGAAAATTATATTGCAAAGTAATTAATGGCAACTATGGCAATAGTTTTCATTTGTCTTTTCTTTAGAGATTGCATTCATCATGAAGCTGTGATAAAATATATTGGAAAAACAAAGCTTTCCTTGCAAAAGAACCTGGGCTTTAAATTGCATAGATTTTATTTTATTTGTGAGGATTGAGTATGGATGAATTTCTGTTCTAGGTTTTATAACTTTACCAGTACCTTCAAG